AGCCGGATGTTCTTCGTCTTCTTTCTCATGAATTGTAACTCTTTCAAAATGGATCTACCTTTAAGAGGTTTTACAAAAATTTTAGCAAAACATTTACATATTGAAAAGGATGATATTCATTGGATATGTTCCCCTGTTTTTGTGAATATGACTCCCAATTGCTTTCGAACGCAACTCTACTGTGGCCCGCATGGCATTGCTTGGGTGTTCTCTTTGAAAACTTTACAGAGAAAAGGCTCCGGCCTCATTTCCATGTTGAGCAATTAACGCAGGCTCTGTCCCCTGACATAGGATGGTTCAGCACGCTGAAATCAAGAGATAGAAGAGCCATTCGTTCAAGGATGTGAAATCGGAGAGTGTCTTAACAGCGCTCCTAAACAATTTTGCCTCTTATGCAGAAGGTGGGCTTGAGAATGATCCTGGTAAATTGATCACCCTCCTCAGAGTGGGGTAGAGGGTGTTATACCTTAAAGTAATACCGCAATGATCCCCTGGCTCGGTCTGGTATCAAGTTGTAATTGTTTCGTAAACGGAGAGGGATGGTAGAAGCACCAGGTACTTGAGAAACCCCGTTCCAGGGACCATAAATAAGGTTTCGATGCTGACTGGTGTGGCTGAAATATTCCTTACTTCATTTGATTCCTGCAGACCTATTAGCGGCGCATCGTTTGAAGATTGTAGCCTCTGACTACCATGGGGAATGTTGGTTTCGTCGATGAAAACGGTTCTCCAGGGGCGGTATTCAATCCTTCCCCCAGGGGGATATATCCCCCTCCTCTGATTCAATCCTCTGGGGGGACAAAAAAGGGTTGCGTCATAGGACCTAGCATACCTCTGTGTTTCTACCTGCCAGACAGTTAGAGCAGCGCTACTACCCTCCACTGATGAAGCACTCTTTCCCCTGAGGGGTCGCGCTGCTCTAACTGTCTGGCAGGTAGAAACACAGAGGTATGCGAGGTCCTATGACGCAACCCTTTTTTGTCCCCCCCCCAGAGGATTGATCAGGAGCAGAGGGGGATATATCTCCCTATGTGGGAAGGATTGAATACCGCCCCTGGTAATAGCCATTTCCGGCCCTCGACAACAATATTCATAAAGCAGCAGTCTAGCGTTTGCCTTTATGTTTGTTTATATGTGTACCAGAACCAAAATAAAGCACTACATAAAAATCAACCAGCAGAGGTTGGGTCAGTTCAAAGTGGGTGGAAAAAGAGCCAAGAACTTCAAGAGATTATGAACTTAGGCTTAGAAACGGTGTGAACGGCAAAAAATTCCTGATTTGATTCCAGCACAGCCCAGAAATCGGAAGAAATGGGTAGATGGGTGCACCGGGTTGTCAGAAAGGACTGAAGACTTTCCACATTGAATGAAGCGTTCTACAAATGGACGGTGCTTGCCAAAAGCCTTATAACTCGATTGAGACAAACCGGAAACCGAAAAAAAAGGAAAAAGCAGGTTGCTAATGGAGGTCGGGACGTGCACTGAAGAGGGTAAATTTCAGACTTTCGGTTGTCCCTGTCATAACGCTAAATAGCCGCGTATTACGTGCACACACTTTAGCTAAATGGACAGGCAACCGAAATACTCGAAGGGGAGGAAAGTGTGCGACGCCGGACTGTCATAAAAACATGCTGACGAACTTATATAATAGATGAAAGGTTACACCGTGTACGCGGTGTCAGACCGCGGTTTACTGGTCGTGTAAATGTGAACTACACGAACATTTCGCACATTCGTGGCCAAGCGATTAGAAATTTCCCAAGCGCGAAGAGGACGGGTTGTAGGGTGACCCTTCCATCACGAGATCACGGGAGGGGCTGATTATGGAATTTACCTCGGCACGCGGAATCAGAGGGTTGAAAACGGATCTAAATGTCTGCTTAACGTTGTAGGCTACAAATAAACATCATGATGATTAGAAAGGCTAGTTTTCACGGCAACCAACAATGACTGATAGGGCCAAGTGCCATTCAATGAGGGAGAAAAAAATTCGAATGCAAATTCGAAAACAAAAAACAAGAAACACAAGAACAAAAACAGAATGTCGAAGTGACTTCTATATCACGAAGGGATACACGAGATTCGGAAAGCGTTGTTTGCACTATGAAGAAGAGACTTTAGGGAAGCCCAGGAACTACAGTCGGTTCGAGAAAAGCCACACAAGCAACGCGGATGCAGAGCACTGATAGAACAGTTCTAGCTAATGACAAGGGACCATACGCACAGCTAAATTTAGTAAATCCGATTTTCAGGAGAAAAATCTAGGAGAAGGTACAATAAGTTAGATCATAAGGATATCCGAGCGGTAAACAACAAGTTGTCGATTAATCTCTAGGGAATGGGCCAGGACATGTCACTCACTCAAGAATGCAAACGTATTTCACTGCAATTGCTGCCATGCGCCCCGAGAGAAAGTAGAGAATTTTGCGGTGGGACAGTAAGGGAAAACCAGATAAAAATGGTAAATATTTGACGCTGATCGATTCCGTCTTCGGAAGCATCACAAATTCCTGTTAGGTTGTGAAGAAAGTTATTGCGCTTTTCGACCTCGAATTTCAAATGCGTGTATCTCTCGGCTCATTCAAAACATCATTTTTGTTGGAGTGAAAAAGTTAGAATCAATCAAATTTCTAGTAATAATAAGATGACCTGGGTCGAATTCACCAAAACCCACCCGGTTGCGCAGAATAGTGGAGCTTTAGAGACGATGACCCCGGAGGTTCGTTTCAGCATCACGTTGGAAACATAACCTGTCAAGGAAGTTATACAGTACATCAGGAGAGTGACAAGTTAGTAGTCTTGCGACCATCTTACTCGGTAGGCAAAAGGCCTACCGAAGTGAGAGCGGTCGATAGGAATAAAATTTGTACGATCCAGCTGGTTTACTTCGGCAAGGTGGTTCTGGGATAATGTGCCGAGCTAACCTATTTAGGGGATGAACTCTGTTTCCTTCATACCGAGAACGCTGGTTAAATCGTGGTAGAAATTCTAAGGATTAATCTTGGAATACACTGTGAGAAGTACTTTTCCCATAATTAAAATTTCACCCTGTGGTTCGAAGAGCGAGACTAGTCGCCAACCCTATGAATATCACCTTAACCTTCATTCAGTACAGTTTCAAATTTGCAATGTTGTGGAGCCTGCTTGCGGTCGATCTATTCAGTAGAAATTCGTATGCTGTAGCCAAGAATCTGCCGCTTTATCGCATGTCGCAAATGAGTGGGAAGCAGGTCGCCCTCATTACATAAAACAGGCTAGAGAATGGGGGGACGATTCTTCAAAATGGTGAGTTGTCGCGGCACGCCCTAATAACATTTTTTGGTTCTGGCTCTTTCCTGTAACAGGAAGCCACAGAGCAATCGCGATCACTTTTCAGGAGCCTTTCCAATAGTCTGTTCACAGGCGTGCTTGCAACCAGAAACTTTTTGGGCTAATCGTTAGCTATTGTCCACTATCCGTATTCACACATATATTGGCAGACTAATCCAAATTGGCAATGCTATAAAACTTGACTTGCTTCAGCTCCTAGGAGGTTTTGTGAAGCTAGAAACCAGAAAAAACTATGCCAACTGCTGCTCCGAGTATGCCGGCCCAAGGCCCAAAAAGTAATTACCAAATGATAAAGAACAAAGCTGAGTTAACTGCTAGATGGAATAAGCAAAGCATTTCAAAATGGCAAGTAGCACTGTGGCAGATTGCTTGAAGTAGGAACAAAGTGAAGCGTTCAAAATGGAACGACAAAAAGCGCAAGAACTTTCTTCACGACCTAATAGTTCCATTCCGGATCGTTGTGGCATTGTGAATGGGATCTGATCCATACAGTGAGTGACTTATTTGCATAGGCAGCTGATGTACGAGTCACTACGATCATATTTATTTTCATGCCCCCCCCAGCACAAGAGCATGGTACCAACTTACCGACCCTGAAGGGATGGAAAGCTTGGTTGAACTGACGGAGCATGATGCATGATTCGACCCACATCACGCTAGCAAGCTTTTTGCTCTCATTGATGACGTGTTGGGTACTCCAAATAGAAAGTGTGATCGCTCGAGAAGAAATGCTCCTTCGGAGTGGAAAAGGAATGATAACGATCACATTATCCAAACAGCTCATTCGTTCGGTAATTTAGAGGCGGACCGAAGCTGATGGTGAGGGAGGAAAAGAAAACGGAGAGTGATCCGTAGAGCTTACTTACGAGAGCGATCTCTCAGTGAAGGGTTCACGTACAGCTTGACAGCACAGGAGACCCTGTTTTTCTTTCCTTCTTGGCACATATGACTCATATGAGATGACAAATTATCTTAGCCAGTAGGTTGTAAGGGAAGCGGCGTTTGATTACCCAGCTGAAAAAAGATTCGATTTGAATGTGCATAAGCGTAACGCCTCAGACACTTAGGAAATAAGTAAAAAAAAATGCCAGCAACATTCCTTCCCCGCTTCAAACTGAGTTACTGACATATCAAGTGAAGTGAACAACCCTCAGCGATAGTAGAAGAAGCAAGCATAACGGGAAATGGATAAACTATCTTCTGAGGCACTCAACCTCATCTCCGGATTGAAAAACACATTTACCTATCATATAACTTTTATAAATCTTTATATAATTTCCATTTAATTCGGAGGGCGCTAATGGAAAACACCCAGCTAAGAGAACGAGAACAAAATAAGGAAATAATTCGACATCACAAAAAAAATAATGCCGTTTAAACATGCTCACAACGCTAAGCGCACAATAAGTGATGAGAAAGCGAAGCAAGGCAACACGGAAAAGAGGCATTTTCATAAATCCATGAGTATAAACATAGAATGCACTAATATCAACACTAATAATGGATCCACACGCCGTTGGATAGACTAGATGCCCCGATACACATTAACACAGAAAGAACATTCACCCAAACAATTCAGCTCTCATTACTAAGACACGAACGTAAGCATCTAAACTGAACTATTTTAAGAAAAAACATAGAAATCTGAAAAATAGAAACACTCCCACAATTCAGCTGAACCATTCCCACATCAAACCGACAGTTTGGAAGATCTCTCGCATGTGATAATCACGCAGCGGTGGAACATGTCGTGGAAATGCTTCCGGTGTCTCACATGATGAATTTCCCACTGACCTACCATAGCTATCCCGCACACGTTGTGGTACCTCGACCTTGTCTGAAAAAAAACTTCGTCTCGTTTTATCATTTGGGTGAGATGATAGCGAGCGCTGCTCCGGGGGAACTTTCGATATGCGTTCCGCATCAGCTTCATGAAACCCACAGCGCAAAGATACCGAATCAAAACCACGCAATCTGTTCCCGCAGAAGTAGATTAACTAAGATCAGCTGTGTTGGGGCCGATATCAGGGATAAGCGGACAGTATAGCAACTGAAAGCAGTGTCTTGGATCTTCCTTCAAAGTTTACCTTTAGCAAATGACTTAGTATGGGTAAATAAATCGATCGCAGGGAATCAAGCAGCGACAACGGAGATCACTGTTCGTGAGAAAATGACGAAGCTTGATAGTAAAAAGAATTTCAACAATCGAACGTAATTTATAGCGGGAGCAATAGAAAACTCACATGACGTTATAACAGTGGGATCCAATTCATTCAAAAAATCCTGATCATCAGGGCCAAAATCTTCAGACTCAGAATCCTCAAACTCCAGGAAAGAGTGGTTCCTGTAGTTGACAGAAAATAATTACGCCTTCAGTAAAATGTCTAGAACGGAAAAAAAAACTTCAAACATGCATATCCTACCTAAATCGGTGAAGAATCGGTACGATATGGCCTTCAGTAGTGAAAAGCAGCCGTTCCTGATGTCGATTAACGGGATTATCCTCATCGAACAGCTGTTAAAAAATAATGTTGTATGACTTTAGGGAACTTCCCCAAGATTACTCGCTCACAAGGTAAAGATATTTCATTGTTTCTGCCAGAAAAAAGGATTCCATCCGATCTTCCAGACTACCATCGTCCACATTGTGAACCGTAGCAAATCCACATCTTACCTGAAACGACATTAATTACTTCTCTGTGGGCTTTTGCCTTGGAATTTTCATACCCTAGTCCTGGTGTTTAGTGAGTCGAGTATTTCTCGTCCGACATGAAGATAAAACGGATTTTTAGTTGCCTGGTACAGTAGGTATGTGGACTCGACAAACTCTGGACGTAACGGGTAGAAGTTCACATCGGGACGCCTAAACATGTGGATACTAACCACGAAAGGAATTACGGCCAACGAACAACGCATTCAGAATGGGGAACTGACCGGATGAAACTGAAAACTTACTTAAGAAACCAATTGTAACGTTCGGGAAGCACTCCATATTTGCTCCACACCGCATAATAAAATGCGTGTTGGCAGATAGCTTCGTCAAGTTGACCGGCCAGAACTAAGAGCCCAGCGAAACTCGCCTAAAATAACACAGAAAAGATTAAAAAAGACTATTAAAATTTGAAGCCAAGACACTTTATAGATTGCTTGGAACAATCTGTGATTACAGTCAACAGTCGCGTGATGTGGTTTTCGAAATTTTTCAGTTCTTTCAAGGAGGTCTCGACCCGCCACCACCTCCTCAAACCTTCAACTTTCCATCTGGTGTCAGACTCTACAAATCGAGCGATTCCCTATTAGCGAAGCTTGATTCAAAGTCTGATAACGGCCATCGACCTCTCACCGATTACGTGACTTCTTGAAGTCTCCTCGATGTTCTCTGAGTAAATGGCTAGAGCACAGACGAATAGAGAACGGCGCCTGGCTCGGCTCCAAATCCCAAAGAGGAAGGTGAAAGCCTAGGACTAAGCCTTGGAAGGGGGAGGGATCCGGGGTGGGTGAGCCAATTACAGTGTTGCCAATGTTTGAATGTTCGGAAACACACTAGTTATGAGCCGCTGCTACGTGAGAAAGGGTAGGCAAGTATGAGCATCAAATTGAGGCGTTTTAAAGGAACGAGCTCAAATTGTCCGTCGACACCCCCCTCACCACCTCTGCGATCACCCTCACCACCCTGGCTATTTTTATCCTTACCATTAATCTTTCAATCTGAGACCTGTCAACACACTCCACCTCCCCCAAATTTCTTCCAAAGCTGCCAAAGTTTGCGAAAATCTCGCCAAAATAGCAAAAAAAAACTCGTCCAAAACGACTGTCCCTTATCCCTTGAACGAAATACGGCCCCTCAACTTCCGCCACTACGACCCCCTTTCCTGCCACTGGAAGCGCTTTTTATGTTGTTTTCACAAATGAGAAATGATGAAAGCGGATCTCATTTATGATGCGAAAATCACTGCAGGACTAACGTTCCAAGCCACAATTGGTCGACGGACTACCTGAACTCGATCCTTTCAAGCTGCCTCACCCGACGCTTTCGTCTGCGCTCTCTCGCCTTATCAGCGGCTCATGACCACTGTGATCTCACACATTCAAACTTTTGCCACACTGTAGTTGGCTCACCCACCTCGGAGTCCCTCCTTACAAGGCTTAGTCCTAGGGCTCTCACCTCCCTCCTTGGGATTTGGAGCCGAGCCAGGCGCCGTTCTCTAATCGTCTGTGCTCTCCGCCATTCGTGGCAGGACCATAGAAGAAAGTTCAAGTAGTCCGTAAACCCACAAATACAAGTTTCAAACAAAAGAAAAAGAACCGATGAAAATGAGAGAACTGAGAGATTGCTAAAACGGTGCTCACTTGCAGTGAATCGATCCATGTATTCGCGGTAGTACCATCACGTGCATCGACATTGACAAAGAGCGGAGGTTCGCCATCGGAATTACAAAGACTACTGAAATTAGTCATTAAGACATTTGCTAGCCATGAACAAATCCACTCAAATCGCATTAGTGATTGAATATGTACCGTCCGCGTCGCATATTTGCAAGGATGGCATCGTATGCCTCGTTGAACAATTGCAGATCCCGAGGTTCACCAAACAGTATGTAAGCTGAAACAGTTATGTGACTAACTTCACACAGCTGCATTGAACCTTTCTACTGATGGATCGAGAAACCCTGCCTTTGTGCACTAATCAGTATAGAGCAAGGGCAAACAAAGCGAGTTCCAATTTTAAGAATAGTTGACCTGCAACAACGGGTGACCCCTCAACTGCAACCCATGATGTTTACTGGATATTATGTTTCGCAGTAGTGGGTTCCGCAACAAATAAGTGCATCACGCTGCTGTTTGACAGTTGTGCAAACGCCTACGTGTTCAATGCACTTAAATGTTTTGACGCTATGGTCCACAAAAAAACTGCTTTTACGTTTTGGAAGGTTGACGCAGTCAGTACAAGAGAAATTGAAATAATGCTGTGAAGCGGGCGTAAGGGTAACTGCTTTGAGTTACACTTATTAGCATAAAGAATTGATAGTCAAGAATAGATGAAACACATTATGCTGATAAATAAAAGCTACCTTTGAGAAAATATTCGTAATAAGAATCCAATCCAGCACCCACTCCACTAAGATATCCAACCCACTGTCCAGTTTGAATATTGACCAGATTCCCTTCAATGAGTACGTTTGAGAAAAGAAAAACTTCCGCTAGACAGTTGGCTTAGATAGAATAAGATTCAGTAAAACAGATGAATACCTGGCAAACCAGTGTTCTTATCACGAAGCCGCCAGAGCTCTTCATTTATGCGCCTGGCAGTGCGTTCGTAAGTCTTAAAGAAAAAAAAATAAGAAAGCAATAACCAAAGAGGAACTTTTCAACTTGCCTGATCACCCAACAAACGCGATAAAATTCCAAATTCAACAAGCAGCGAGCCAGCGCCAGCGGTACATGTCTCTTCGACAGTTCCTGGTAACACCCCTCTCATCAGATTGACTCGCGGATATGGAATCCCTTCAAAAAATCATTAATCGTGAAAAATGATGGCATTGTTCTCTAATCCAACCACCTGTTTTTGTGCCTTCGAAAGCGGGGAGGAGACGCGCCGCCAGGTCATGCGCCATAGTGAGCAGTTCTCCATCATACTCGGGGATATAGAAATCACCTAGTAGACGTGATTTGTCGGATGCAATAAGATGAGCCGATAAAAGTGAACCAATCACTCTGTAACAAACTCATTAAGCAGTGAATGAGCAGAACAGCTGTCATCCACAGGAATCCACCAATAGCCTTTTTTTAAAGTAAGTCAACCCAAACTCAACTCAGTCAATAAGGAATATCTGAGTCACGAAATTCACGATGCTGCGATGTGATGAAGTACATTTTTTCTTAGAATTTAGTTTGGTTGAATTCCGCGAAAAACGACAAACAATAAAGAAGACTTACCAGGGAGGTCTTCCAGGAAATGCCAAGCTTTTTCAAAACGGTTTTTTGCATGATATAGGGACACATGCATGGAACACCAAACTGCAGTTCATTTTTCCTGAGCGGCCCTCTGAATACCAAAAAAGGAGCGAAGAAAAAATTTTTAAGGAACTGCCGTTCTAGTTCACTTTTTGTGACGTACATTGCACACACAGCGTTGACCAGTGTCATATCGAAAGGTTCTCATGAATTGTACATTGAAAACAGTGCGGAATTCGGTCAAAAATAAAACGATCTCCTTGGCATGTATTGAAACTGTTGTGTATTATTCATCAGCGCCGTATGAAGCGAAGCTATCAGCGGTAGTCGGATGGCCTAGTGGTTAGTGGTGCGGTCTGTGAAACGGAAGGGAAAGGGCGGTGTTGGTGGTTCGACTCCCCACAGTGCCAAAATTTTGCTTTTTTTCTATTGTCATTTTCCTGTGATCGTGCACTCCTGCGCATGCATATAATGCGGTTTTATGTTCGTTTTGAGATCCTACGACTGCGAATTCGTATCGGTCTCTCACGAACTTGTGTGTGCATCGGTAGAAATTTTATAACTCATAAACAAATTGCCCCCGGAAGGCTTGCAGAAGGGCTAACGTGGAATAGGAGGGGTCCGTCCTAGTGATTACCACGGAAACCCGAGGTACTCCCTCGCAGGGCAAGTCTCACACAACTTTGCGCTTTTTGCAGCTGATCTAGCTATCGGCAGTAGACCCAGCCAGAAATATGACCAGAAGCCCAACCTGCCACTGTTTGACAATGAGGGGAACCTAATGACATAGTCATTGGTGACTTCTCGCCAATCGTCGGCTTGAGTGTCTACGATTGTCTATTACGGGAAAGGATTTCGCATTCCGTGAAAGATGACAAGGAGGTCGCCTCCAAATTATCTACCAATGAGCTGACGGGTTAGTGATCTATCTACCCATGGTCCAACTGTTCGAAGTTGGGACGAAATCTTAATTTTCCCTGAAACTTTCGGGTTAGGGGTTATTCGGCGTCCTGATTACGAATATTCTATTAGTTTTTAGCGTAAACGTCATTTGAATTCGCTATGACGCCATTGGGCGCTACAACGGCGCCGTTTTGGTATCGCAACTTTCTCCACCAGATTTTTTAGTCAAAATCTACGTATGAAGGTTGCTGTTGCTCCTAGTTATAGATATGACATCTGCTATTCACGCTGACATCCTTTTTCGTAAACTTTGGAGCGCGAACATAAAATGCAAAAAAAATTGTCACTGTGAGGATTCGAACCACGGACCACTTCATAACCCCTTTTTTGGTATTCAAAGGGCCGCTCAGGAAAAATGAACTATAGTTCAGTGTTCCATGCATGTACCCCTATATCATGCAAAAAACCGTTTTGAGAAAGCTTGGCATTTCCTGAAAGACCTTCCTCATTAGTGCGCCATGTGCGCTGACCTATTTCATATCCATAACACTGCGACGAACGGCAAAAAAAAGATTTATACATTGACGACAGCGTGACGCGCAAGCGAGTGCGACATTTTGCACACCCATGTAATCCTTTTCGCATGTACGCTATTTCTTTCAGGGTTTTTGTGGCTTTCATAGATCATCAACAAAACAAGTAAATACGCAGCGCGCCCCAAAACAGACGCGTTTTCCCACCCAACCAATATTGACCCCTCTAGACTGATTTATTTTGAATCTTGGAAACCGCGACCTATGAGACAGCTGGGCGCGCTCGCGCAATCGAATGTGTGCCTGCTAAATCGCTCGGAACCAAAAAAGTTGAAAGCATCGCTGCCATCAATGCGTTAAAGAAACAGAAAGCACAACAATAGTATGATAACGATATACGATATACGATAACAATACCTGATTGTGGCTTCAAAAACCTGTACAGTTGTGTTCTTCTCGAAATTAACCGAGCTAATGACTAGCGCAACAGCTCTTTTAAACTCTTCATGATCACCTAAACACCTTTGTTCACTTTACCAACTCTTAATACATAATTTTAAAAAAAGCACTACTTACCCAAAACAACTAAAGTATCCAAAGAATCAATTAAAGTTAGTGAGTAATCTCCCAGTACATCATTTATATTAATGTTTGCACTGAAAATATTTTGAGTTAGATGGACAAATATAAAGTTGAACAAATAACGTCAAATAGACTCACGGATTTCCGTGGTCGTGTCCCCTGCCTGTACAATGAATCGGATCAAGTTCATCTGCTGGGAAAGCGTGACTCATGTAGTTTTCATAGCCAAAATAGAACATTTCCCGCGCTTCCCGCAATGCTTCTAGCCGTTCTGTCTGAAACGCTTGAAATAACAAACACAGCCACATGTTTATGCTCACCAGCTGAACAACAAATCGAAAAAGACGGATTCAAAAATGAACAAGAAGCAAGAAAAAATTTGCTCAATTGAGATAGGTTCGAGATTAAAACGCTGGCAGTGACAAATTGCGCTGGTTCATTGAGGGTGCTTCTTGTCTTTACCGATACAACATATATACATATCTTTCACTGGTCCAACCATCAAGATGATATTCTGTATTTACGGCTGTCGCGACTTACAGTCGATATCAATATTTGGGTAAGCATTGCCACGGAAGGGCGTTTAAAGCAACAATCCAGGAACGAATTCGCGGGTAAGGACCACCTATAATGACGTTGCAGGTGAGAAGTTGGTCAATGGAGAAAGAAAAAGTAAAAAAACGTCGGGCAGGGGCTTAGACAGGGACTCCCCCTGCCGTTTAGGGAGACGTGTGTTGGACGAGTTGTCCGAACCTGCCCGTAGTACATGCGCTCCAGTTGACTGCTGGCAAATAGCCATGCATGCTTGCAAATACATAACTATTTGCCAGCAATCGAAATTGAAGCGCTTCAATTGCGTTCTTATGGAATCGACCTCATACAGCGCGGCGGTCCCGCAACGACCGCTAGTCGAGCAAGCGCTCTGCACAGCGTATGTTGGGCGATCCGCCTCTTTATGGGTGATCCGCCCCCTCCAAGAGGACTTCGACCCCTTCCAGCGCATTTTAGAGGTAGGTTTTGAAATTAAAGACATTTCCTATAAACTTTAGTTGGGCTGGGGCATGTTTTGACCGCCTAATGACCAAGTAGTTGAAACCCTGCCTGGACTGTTGCTTTAAGCAGAAGCTGCGTGGATAAATCGCTGCCAGCATGCTTTGCTGATATCCAGCACTGTAAGTTGGAAGCAGCTTATCCACATAGCTTCTATCAAGTACATTTCACTTCCGATAACACGCCCACCCCATCTCTCAGATAAGGAATCAAGATAGCCGCCGCTGTCGTAAGAGGAGGAGGCATCTCTATGCATAGAGACCAGTGCATTCATTTAAAACATAACCATCACTTTCTTTCGATAAAAGGCATAGACGACCTGGCAATGATCTACATGAACGCTGTTAACTTTATTAGCCGCTGAGCTGAAGATGCCTTGCGCCGGTTCGATAGGAAGGGTTCCCTAGGGGACTATGTTTTGAAGGATGTGAGAAGCCTCGAGGAACATCGGAAATGATGTAGCACCCTACAATCTCTCCCCTACCAAGACAGTCCCGACAAAGCAAGCTTCATCTCTATTTTTAGGCCGCATTAAAGTGGCAAGGGAATGAGGACCTGAACTTCACCCATTATAGGAGACCACTCCGAGACGATATTTATTCAGATTTCTACTCAGGATTAAGTCACTATTGGTTTTTTCTAAGCCCACACAGACTTAACCCTTCTATAAGATTACAGCTAGTCTGTGTACACGTTCATGATCTAAAGTCTTCTAGATGCATTGGTTGAGGCTTCCACAAAGTGATGCCCTTTGACGACATGAGCGCCCTCAGTCGATCATTTAGCTTTTTTGATCGCTGGTTAGCATTGCTTGCTCCTCATTCCACTATTCCAGAACATGTACATTATGGCGCAACGGAGCTTCATAAAACAATAGCACACAGCCAAAAGTGATGATGAGGCAAACAGGAACGTCTTCCCCGGCTACCAACAAGTGCTTAAAAAGAGGCCGAATCTGGGTTGTAAGATGGTGTTTTTGGACAATGAGTTCCAAAGGCAAGAAACAGACTAAATGGAGCCATAATGAGTTCCTACCCCACCATCACCTTGCAACTATAGCAACACTGCTTTACGCACATTCCTCACACTACAAGGTCGCCGAAATAACCCCCCCCTTCCTTCTAAGGGCGGAAGTGGTGCAGTGACAAGTGGCGCGCTCACCACGCGAGCGGTCCGGGATCAAATCCTGGGTCGTGAGTCGCCCGGGCCAACCAAGCCTTCCATCCCTCCGGGGTCGGTTAATTGGTACCAGACTTGTCTGGGAGGATAAAAACACTGACTTGAACATCGGCTGGCCCCCGCAAGTCATTGTATAGGCCACATCGCATTCAAATGCCACTGCGAATGTACAAATGGAAGTAGAATGCGTGCCGCATCCCAAAACGGGATTGATCAACGGCAAATGCTTTATCCTTATCCTTCCCTTCTAAAGGCACAATAAAACCTGGTGAAGACTCACCTGAGAAAATGTTGAGTAACGAGCTTGCCATGGTGAAGCGATAAATGGATGCCAACGAGAGTGTTTGCATTGCCCCACTAAGACCACAACCAACAACAAAAACACCCAGACTAATATACAATTCTGAAAAGGAAACAAGAAACTTTTATCGCTCACTATGAAACCAATAATCAACTCACCATAATAACGAGACGTGTCTCAACAACTGCAGCGTTTCAGGGTCATCGAATTCGGCTATAAAGCACACCTGGAACAAATTAGATTGCTCCTTATCAAAACCGCCCCGATATCAACTGATAAGATAAGAGCTGTTTTACTTCCTCACTACTCAAGCCCCCAGGTCCATCAAATTTCAAGCATATTCCATGAATGTACTACTTCACAATTATGATCAGTTCATCATGAGGTAGTAATCGAGAAACATATAAAAAACAGAAGGGAGACAAAGCGAGAGGTAGAATATTCATTTTTAAACTTTCTTGACTGAAGTCAAGTCCTATAGGCAACATTTTCAAGAGGCAGTTTATCAATAGTTTCATAGCAATATAACGATCCTAAACACCACATCTAACATTCAAGGCATACTCAAAGGCTTATAAGGTATGCGAAATGCAACTATATACTAACTTCAACCTACAAGGAACAAGGCAATAGATACAATAAAGCGAGTGAAAGATGTCATGTTGGTAATCTGAGCGAGACATAGCCACGACGTCAAAACAGGACATTAGAAACTAGAATCGCATCGCGCAAAGAACAGGACAGCTCTTTCAACTGAGACCGACCATACCGAGGGATACGTTGAAATAAACACGACAGCAATGGCACACAACTAACTAACTAATGAATAAACATTTTGAGAAAACACCTGAATTCTCGCAAACACCCGCTTGACAATAATGAGCGGAACTAGAATGAGAACTATAGAAAGCGAAAACTTTTCATTGTTAGTACGAATAGGAAGGCATTTCCTAGATAACCCAGTCATAGTTCAGTCCGACCAATCGTCTGATCACACAATTAAGAATGGGATAAATACATATCGACCATCCAATCGTCCCACTCATCCAATCGCGCGATTGTTGCGATTGCATGGTCAACACGGATCTACCCCACCCTCGGTGTGCAACGTCCAACTAAATTACAATTGAGGCCTCGAACGCAGCAGAAGACGCAGAGAGAACATCTATTGGAAGATGGGCTAATCGGAAAGGTCCCCAACGCTTGAGCTGCTTTGCATGTGCTATTTCTGCATGCTTTAGAGGCAAAAGCTACAGCTGCTTCTCCAGCTATCTATGCATTTCCCGAATTCACAGTCCTTCAACCAGCCTATAGCAAATCTCACTATATTCGCGGTGGCACCGGAGAAAAAGTAACCACCGATCAGATAAAGGGGTTCAGCAGCGGAACTTCTGCTGTGCTAATGCCTTTCAATCGTATGACAATTTTGCCCAAAAGAAATTCCAATTCCGCTCATTCCGATAGTTACTAATATTATAAAATATACAACAAATAACAAGAAACCTAACCTAATATATGATCAGAGAAAAGTTTGTAGTCTCAAACAAGTAAGAATTTGTAGAACGTATTTGAAATCAGTCTTTCCTGCCATCATAGAATTGAGCACAACAAGAACACGTTTGCTGAGAAGTAAGAACATTGAAATGTAGAATGGCAACAAGATCCCTTGAGGTAGTATTAGCAGGAAATAGGAGAGGGCGAAAATTCAAAATCTGAGTTGATTTCTGAGGTGAAAAGAGACTACAAACCGTTAGAAGGTTACAAAATGCCACAAGGAGTCCTCGAATCATCAGTAAACCCTGACTAGATTAATCCGTCGAACTTCTATAAGAAGAGGAAGGAGAAAAAATAAAAAAATATCTATTCAAAAAAAACCATCTGAGTTGTTGAACTGAGATGGGGCAGAGTTCAGAGTCAATAAAAACAACCATGCAGGCCAGTAGTCCGATGATCTACTCACGACATTGATCAGACATTTTTTCGTAGTAATCATAAGTGCTTCTGAATCTCCTCGTATACTGCCATAACCAAAGCTCCTCCACTAGTTCTGGAAAGAGGATCTTATTTCTTAGTTTTTTTTTGCAAAGAACAATGTAACCGACAGGAAAGACAAGGGAGGGATACCAGGTCGAAGTGGCCATTTGTAACGAGACATACACCACTAGATGTGTTTTTGGACGCTGATCTCGAATCTGCTCTCCAAATCTGCGAAACGATTCTCTGAACGTAGTTATGAAGCGAGATAGTGCAGTGGCAGCGGCCCGGGCCGACGAAAAAGAGGTCGTGAGATCGACTTCCGGCGACTTCCTGGCGGGTTCTGACTTTTGCTTTTCCTGAGAACATTGTTCAATGGGATCCCCATCTATGCTAAGTCATCAGCACTCGCCTATACCACAAGCGTGAGGAGCTAGCGAGGAGTTTCCATCAAGCCATATGCAAATGACAACGACGACTGCCCACATTTTCGAAGTTAGGTCAAAATTTCAGATTTGGACGCTGAGCACGAATATCACCTCTGTTTGGCAAGAAAGCGCCTGACGCGTGCGCTACGAGTACAAGGGGCGATCTTTTGCGAATGGCGCGCACAGTGTTAGATGCTCCTCGCTAGCTATTCCCACTTGTAATATAGGCAATCGCTAATAATTTATATGGATAAAAGCATCTTTCAGCAATGTCTCAAGGAAAGCAAACGTAAGAAATCGTCGAGAAGTCGATCTCACGACCGCCAGTGCACTATCTCGCTTCATAACTACGTTCAGAGAATCGTTTCGCAGATTTGGAGGTCAGATTCGAGATCAGCGTCCAAAAACACATCTAGTTCGACCTGGTATACCTCCTTTGTCGGATCATGCAAAGGTTGAAACCACGGTGTATCTCAGATGAAAACCACTGCAGCAAACAGTTTATCCCGACGGGAATTTATGTGAAGCGTTTCATTTTCTTCACAAATTCCGGACTCACTGTGGCACCTTTAGACCGATACAGCATCAGCTCAAGAAACCGCTTCCACCTTCGTATTAAAGAAGACATGCTGGTCACTTTCGCCCGTCTAAATGCCTCCTTCGCATCGCTTGCCCGCTCAACTGAGTCGCGTCAGTGCTTACGTTTGAAGCCGGCCGAATCAGGGGAACAGGAAAAAACGAAAACAGAGGATTTACAGCAATGGTAGTAACATTTTGGATAGTGGTTTACATTTGCTGAAATGGCCCGAATAGAAAGGTACATAGGCAGGAATACTTGCCAATAAGGGATTCGCTTTTGAAAAGTTTCTGGTTAGAGATCAAGAGACTTCAAGAGGAGAGGAATCATTGTGGAATATGATGTTGTTAGGCTGATAAAGGGTCACGAAGGTTGCGAAGGGAGGTTTGAAAAGCTAATAAGAGAGTGAAGATTGATAAAACTTCCTTGAGAAGCCATCGTAATTCTAATTTGCCTCTAGCTGTAAAACAATCCTGAAAGACTAGATCGTCTACTTTTCACTCATTTTAAGTGTTAACTGCTGCTTTGGAGGCATCCACCATGCAGAAGTTACCACAAATACGCCGATTAGGGTCAAACACTTCGTCCCAGGCATGAATCAAACCCGCCTCTACATTGATTTTCCCGCAGCTGAACTTCATTCTGATACCAGATTCTATTATACTATGTATGGATTTGATTGTTAAAGGATATCTTATATCTCTGCCCAGCGAATTACGAAGGCTGTCTTTCCTTCTGTAGCAGATGAATGAGAACAAAGCAAAGGGTACCCGCGAATTTACATACAGAAGCAGATTAGGCCGATGTCAGACTTTGCGAATCGCGCGATTCGCTAGCGTCTGCGGTCGCGTCGCGGCCAGTGAATCACTCAATTGGCTGGTACCGCAACGCGACCGCGGACGCTAGCGAATCGCGCGATTCGCAAAGTCTGACATCGGCCTAGAGGAAAAAATACGACAATTCAACATGCCTGAAAATATTGGCCAGCGCTCCTTTGAACAGTCCACGCACTCCTTCTTCAACGACAATGCGTTTTGCTGCACCAAATGCTCGCCCTGTACTCAGCGTTCCTTTAATCATCATTCTTCGCCGAACTGTATCCCAAGGATATGTGAGGTATGCCGAGAAAATAGACACACCCTGTAACAATAAATCTTAATGAATAAAGATATCTATAGGAGAACCACAGGAAACCTCTCTGAAACATTACTCACCTGGGCAATGAGAAAAGATGCAAAGAAAGGTAGGTTCTTTTTATCCTTTTCAACAGTCAATCGTATGGTATCGTACATACCAAAATAAACAGCACGATATAGGAAATACGTCTGAAATATCGATCTAATGGGAATCATCTACTCAACTGAACAAACATGCTCCGTTAGACTGTGAGGACGGTGCAATCAGTTCATTATATTTCTACACGACACGCAACTTTTGGAGCAAGTCCAAAGTTACAACGGATAGCAGAAAAGAGCCATGCTCCTTTTGTATTTACAACGCTAAAAACCACGCCCTGACCCTTTTCATGTTGTTTTCCCCGATTCAAAGCTGTGCTGTCAACAGTTTATGGCGGGTACTCGCTTCATTCATGTAGATGCCACTATAGCATAGCCTTGGAAATTTGAGCAACAAATCGGAAACAGGGCAAATGAAAAGTACTCAATAAATGATCAGGTGAGGAAAAAAGAATAAAGTAGTTTAAGCAGACCACAGGGAATGAATGTAAGCCACGTGCCAACGTACTGTAACGGCGCTAGTTCTCTACTGGGTGATTTGCTCTCTTGTCTAACACTCTTACTTTCAAATCCAATTAGTCTATTCGAAAAGGTTCAAATAGACTGAAATGCTGATTATGATAGAAACAAACATTCGAAATTATTGCTCTATTCAGCACCCAGTCAGAAACATTCGTGATTCAATATAAAGGTCTGATACATGAGTGGTCCTTAAGATAGAATTATAGAGATAGATCAACTTTCGATTTAGTTCAAATGTGCAAATCAGCAACAATGCTAATAGGTAAATGAATGCCATAAGACAAGTAATGAGTACCAACACAATCGCAATAGCAACAGTTCATACACGCAGCGTGCTACATGGAGAAAAACACGCGGCCACACGGGAGACAATCGTATCGCTTGATTTATTTGCCTTTTTATGTCCCGGGTATTGGCCATTTTACATTTTCCGGCGCGAAAAAAAAATCACACATTCATAAGTACGCGGAGAGACGCAATACGGCAGCCGACAATGTGTTGAACAGCTCTCCTTGCTAATTTACTAAAGTGGCCAATATAGATTGAGTTGAGCTAGGGATAAGGCAAGCAGTCCCTACAAAGCAGTCGTGAAGGCATGTCTAAAGGGACATTGTAACTAATTGGATATTTGTTCATATGAAAGAAAACTAATAGACAAAAGAACTAAGAGACACGTCAGCGTTTCGACACACCCACGCGCCACTGGTTCCTGATTCAACTCGCTGCAAGCCTACCTCCGCAACCCTACTCTCATGAATTGTAGTGTTGGAGCACTCAGGGGTATGGTAAAAGCGAATGCGGTTATAGTACAATGAGAAATCAGACGAAGTGTCGACCAGTTAGAGAGGTGGAGGGGGCATGTGCAGTCGATTTTTCCGAAAGTGAATATTCGGGCTCAGGAGGGTTGTAGCAGTCAGTACAGGGTGCGGGTTGAGGCGGAGAACAATTTAGACATGCGTGAAAAGATGAATTTCGAGTCGATTAGCTAGGGTGTCGCTGATCCGAGTAACGAATTCATGATGCCCACTAGCTGGAATAGACCCCATAAAAAAAGAATAATATGCGACAAGAATATTGGGGTTAAAATTAGCTCTACTACTCCTTTTTGGTGCTCTACTACTCCTTTTTGGTGTGATGTGACGATCAGAAAATGGATAGGACATTGCCCACGTGAAGATTTGCACGGAAAAGCTTCTGCATATCTACAAAGTGCTGTCACTCTGTCTCATTTCATGCTTTCCCAATCGGTGCCCCCCCCCATATACATAGTTACAGCAGAGTGCGAATAAATAATGAACAATTGAACTGATAAATTGGCACCCCACCAATTACGATGCAATACGACGGGTCGATCACCCAGCTTACACTTCACATTGGGACCCTTTGAATGAGCATTTAGGGCGTTTTCAAAAAATACTCGAAGGACTGATAGGGCAAAGGAACAGGCTCACTACACAGAACTAAGAAATACATGACCGTTTGGCGTAAGGCATGAAAAGGAAGACCTAACAGGAAATATATCAGCTGAATTGTAAACTCTTCAAGAAGATTAATTCCAATTACCGAAACCAGCTCAATTTTGATGGCTCTCGTATGCGAACTATATCTTCTTAATCATGAACTTCGAGTGCAGTGCTGTTCACATCACACAGAAATCAATGCAACTTGACGATATCAAAAGATCTTCTTGGAACAAATGAAATACTCCCTTCAAAAATGGACTCAGAAAAAAATGGTCGAGATACCACGTGGGAGGTCCACTTTCCCCTTCAAGGAATAGTTAAAAAAGTACCATCCTAGCTTCAATCCAATCGGTATCAGATAAGAGTTTAGGAGAACAAGAATCAGAAAATGAGCTCGTGACCATTGAAGGCCATCAACAAATTATTCAAGCAACCGAACGATTCGTCTAATGCAAAAGGAGATCAGAGATTGCGTAGCAGACGCCGAAGGGCTAATAAACAAAGTTATACTGTTCCCTCTTCTAATGAGGAGAACAGGCTGTAATGGTATGTGGTCAGCAAAGCATAATAGTAGGAGAAGAATTGAAACCGTTCACAAAAGCAAGACATACTCACCTGAATAGATATAAAGAATCCTCTGTATAAACCAAAAAAGCCATCAGATTTTACAGTCTTCCTGAAGCAATCCAGGAATCCCTAAAATCGATAGTTCTAGAAGTCCGCTTTCACAATTTAGAGGCGAGGCTTACCGTGTAATCTCTATTGAATTTGTGTGTTCCCACATCAACTGACAACCTAGTACGAATGAAATCCAATGGATACACGAAACATAACGTCGTAGAACCTGCCATACCACCAGAAGCTAAGGTGCGTGAGGTGTACTTCCAGAAATTCTGAACAGTACAAATAGAGATTCATATGGAGAGGCTGTAAAAATCAGCAAATACCACTACCTGACTCCGATCGACCTCCTTTAATAAGAATAGACTTGTAGAGATCATTGAAAGCAAAATTCAGTGCCTAAGAAAATGAACATTGAAATCCGTCAACTTCAAAGTACAACAAAATGAAGAGTTCCACTGCACCTGCGTGGGAAAGTAGCGCATCACATTCGTCAGATTTCCTCTCCAAAACGAGAAGAAACCTTGCTCTTTAGGAACACGGATGAGAGTGTCAAAAATACCCTTGTAACGGTTGTTGGCGGCTATACTTTGATGCGAATACTGGACCTAAAAAATAGAAAGTTGAGACCACCATGAATAAATAAATATTTAAATGAAGAAATAAATAGATTAATTAAAGCACGACAATGTTGCAAATGAATTTCGACAAGTTTTTGAGACAACCTTTTGATTTTTTAAGCTAAACTTTTGGGATGTCGGTCAGTTGCTGTCCATACTAACCTCTCATCTGGTCAAAATTAGGCTGGTGCCAAAGTCCGCGATACATCGCGCGATTCGCGACGGACAGAAGTCACAAGTGCCCTGACCAATACTGCAAGGTGCCTCCATTGGCCGATGTCAGAGTCTGCGATTGGAGCGATCGGTCAAATGCCAATCGCGCGACCATCGCGCGATTCGCGCGACGATCGCGCGATTGACATGAGTCCCATCATGACCAATCGCTCCAATCGCGCGATGGGCGCGATCACTCCCGTTGTGGCTGGATACGTTGACTGAGTATCGATCGAGAGGGGCGCGCCAGCCACAACGGGAGTGATCGCGCCCATCGCGCGATTGGAGCGATTGGTCATGATGGGAGTCATGTCAATCGCGCGATCGTCGCGCGATTGCATTTGACCGATCGCTCCAATCGCAGAGTCTGACATCGGCCATATCCGCCCATACGGCATTTTTGCTTGATGGTGATGGTTGAACGACGATTATTCATGATTCTACTTGCTTCATATTCAGTTTTTCGAATGTTCAAATGAGGCATTTGTGATTTTAGCGATTCCCGGCGCGTTGCATGACGGATCGCGGACTCTTACACCGGTCTTACACATACAAAACATTGTTAAGAAAAATTCGAAAATGATTACGAGTGCAGAGCATGGCGTTTCAAATTATAAGACGAAGAAAAATTCCGATATTACTTTGCTCCTTGCCTTCGAGGAGAGCGGCTCCCAGACAATACCTAACCATTTGGGCGCGGCCGCGGCGAACGCGGCCGAGTTGATAGGTGCCCGCGAACTCAGCACAGCACAGTTCGCGGGCACCTCGAGTGCGTTTTCAACGGTTCGCGGGCACAATCGACTCGGCCGCGTTCGCCGCGGCCGCGCCCAAATGGTTAGGGGTGGGCGAACGCGGCCGAGTCGATTGTGCCCGCGAACCGTTGAAAACGCACTCGAGGTGCCCGCGAACTGTGCTGTGCTGAGTTCGCGGGCACCTATCAACTCGGCCGCGTTCGCCGCGGCCGCGCCCAAATGGTTAGGTACTCAAAAAAAATAAGAAAAACGGCGTTAAAAATTAGAGCATTGATGCTACTATTTACTCGTTACAAAAAGGGAAAATTCGGGGAATGCCTCATAAGAAAACCCTTTACCACAAGTCATCGATTGCAACTTTTGTGATTCAGCGCGCTGAGTGAAACTAACCTGCAACAACAGTTTTACTCTCTCAAGAGGAGCAACGGCTGTCTTTGACACGGCTGCAGAAACACCTCCAACAGTCAAATCTATTGCGAACTTGTTCAGCTCACCCGTTCCAAGACGCTTAGAAGGACGTGACATCCTTAACAGCTTTATGAATAAGAAGACTGCTTGTTGTTAGAAAGGTCTACAATTAACAAGGACACTTTGACGGCAATAATAACGTCTGGTGCAGGTAACAAGCGACTTCTGGAACAGACATAACAAATAGGACAATTTTCTTGTTTACAATGAGTACGGCTAATTCACTTCATTCACCAATCTATCGGCACACGTGACGTGTGATATCGTTCACCTTATCTTTGACATTTGAAACCATCATTAATTTCCCCAGTAAAAGATAGGGAAAAAATAAGTTTGGCGAAATCTCTGAATGAAAAAAATTATCTCCCTCAACAAATGTATCACACACTTAAGTGATTGTGAACTACGTGATGTACATGGTGCACCATGCGGGCATGCGCAAGAAGATCACTTTGCATAATTTATCCCACATTTTTCGATTTTCTAGTATGTTCATACTTCCTGGAAAAGGGGAAGGTTATGGGTAAGTAACCGATATGTAAAAGGACGAAAATACGCGGAAATACGGTATGTAGAGGGTTTCCAAAGGGAGAACAAGCAAAATGTTGAAAAGAGAAGAGTAGTGTCCAAATAAATATCTCGAGTGATTCGGCGATCCAGGTGTAATGATTAAGTGCACCTTGACCAACTTGCCACTCCTTATTAGTGTTTTCAGCGATAGTATGATTCTTCGGCATTATTCAACTATTAAAACCCCAAAATCTCAAAATTTTATTTTTCGTCGAAACTTTGCCTATAGGGTAATTCGATGCCCTGATACGAAAATGACATTCATTTTTGGCGTTGGCGCCATCTGGCGCCAATTGGCGCCCGTTTGGCGCCAGGGATGTTTCCACCAAATTCGCTATAAGACCGACGTCATAGTCGGCGACGGAACAAGCGATGGATCCGTCGCTAGCCAATCGCTCTTGGTCGAGCGATTGGCCGATGTCAGAGTCTGCGATTGGAGCGATCGGTCAAATGCCAATCGCGCGACCATCGCGCGATTCGCGCGACGATCGCGCGATTGACATGAGTCCCATCATGACCAATCGCTCCAATCGCGCGATGGGCGCGATCACTCCCGTTGTGGCTGGGCGCCCCCCTCGATCGATACGTTGACTGCGGAGCTGGCGCTCCCTGCCACAACGGGAGTGATCGCGCCCATCGCGCGATTGGAGCGATTGGTCATGATGGGAGTAATGTCAATCGCGCGAATCGCGCGCGCGATGGTCGCGCGATTCACATTTGACCGAATCGCTCCAATCGCAGAGTCTGACATCGGCCATTGGCAAGCGATTGCGCGCAATCGCTTGCAAAGTGCACAAGCGACGGGCAATGGCTCTGCTCGATCGATACCGCAGCCGACTGCATTGACTGGGGGCGGGGCCAATCGCCCGTCGCTTGTGCACATTGCGCCAATCGCTTGCCAATCGCTCGACCGCGAGCGCTCCATCGCTTGGTCCGTCGCCGACTATGACGCTAATATAAACTTGTACATGGCGATTCATTTGGGGTCCTGATTACGAATATAACTTCTCTTTTGCCACTGGCTCCACTTGGCGTGTATTTCCTGCTCTTCTACACCCTCTCACTGATAACGTCGAAAGCCGGACTAAGCCTTTGGGAGAGGGGCGCTCCGAGGTAAGCAAGCCTCCCACCCTGTGATCTCATACGCTTCAACTTTGCCAGACGGTGCCTGGTTCATCCATTCCGGAGTTCCCCCACCCCTAAGCTTAGCCTTAGGTAATATGTATAAGTGAGAGAGCCCAGGAAAACGGAAAATATGCGTTGAACAGTGCAAATGCCAAAAACGAATGTCATATTCGTAATCAGGACCCCAAATAACCCCTATATACAAGTTTACAGCGAATTTGGTGAAAACAGCCCTGGCGCCAAACTGGCGCCAAATGGCGCCAGCGCCAAAAATGAATGTCATTTTCGTAATCAGGGCATCGAATTACCCCTATAGGCGAAGTTTCGACGAAAAATAAAATTTTGAGTTTTTGGGGTTGTAATAGTTGAATAGTGCTGATAGATGCGTACACATTTCTTTCTGCAAAATCGCCGAACTCCCGGATCGTCGAACTGCAAAATCCACAGATCGAAATATGAATTCTTTCCAGAGGATCACCGACCTACGAATGCTGCCCAAGATTCTATCTGATTGGTAATGAAAGAGATGTGTACAAGGAGGATAGGCAAACATGGACCTTAAATAGTACAAAACCGAATAGCAAATAAGACTTTGGACGATGATGCTAGATGTGTAAAAAAGCATTCTTAAGGAATTCGAGAAGGATGCATGGTGCGACAGATAGTGCTGCCTGCGCAATTGCAATTTTTGCAGGGCGATGATGCTTCGAGGTGGCATAAAGGGGAATAAGCTCACGCACTCCGGGATTTTCTCCTCTATAGAATGGCCTTAATTGCAGGGGTCCCAACTTGTTGTATCACATGCTCCCCCACGCCTCTACTGGAATAGACCCATAAGCTCTTTGTGAAAAGAGGCGGGTGCAGATCACGTGCGTTTCAAAAGATGAGCGATACAATGAGATGAAAGGGAGATACTTGAAAGAGCATGGAAAGAATTGTTGCTCTTTGCACTTCATTTTTTGCACGACAAGAAGTCAGAAAAGCTTCAAATTCGTGACTGATAAACACATGGAAAATCAACCAAAAAATCCCACACTTCACAGCGTATTTGCAAACACTTAACAAGAACCAGCAGCTTCAGATAATCACTCGCATTCCTATAAGGCCCGAAGAAGTAAAAAAAAATTCCATGAAAAGCACCCTCGAAAAAGAAAAAGTCAAAAAACGTCTGCAGGAAAAAAACAATCATCGACCTTTCTCGGAAATGTCCGTAAATATTGACGTACTTTTAGAAGATGATTACGGTACTTGTTGCCGTAAATATGCAGTTGCGTCATCTCAACTGGTCCTTGTAGGTGTTCTTGGTTTTTCGTACCTTTTTAGATTTCGGGAGGTTTTTTGCGAGTAATACTTCCAATTTGCGGTAAAACTC